GCTCCACTACAGTCTTTTCAAACCAGCCAAACACTAGCACACTCGACAGCTTCCGAGTCTGAAGATACCTCCCCTGGGGAAGTGAGCAGTTGGGGCTTCTATGTGTTGCTACAGATTAAAGCCACATTATGGCGTGTGCATTAGCATGGGGGCAGATGGCAAAGCCGTGGGCAAGGCAGCATCCTGGAAGCCGCTTCATGGAATCTGGTTCAGGATGTTGCCAAAACTCTCCTGGAGTGAAAATGACACCTGTCTTGGTGAGCAGGTGATAAAGGGATGGTTGTGGATGACTTCAGCTATCAGGATTGTAACACAAGGAAGACGATGGCTCCCTGCCTTCCTACACACAGGTTGGTTTTCAAAGTGACTACTTTAGACATCTTTCTTTTTTTTTAATTAATTAATTTATTTATTTTTGTTCTTTCGAGACAGGGTTTTTCTGTGTAGCCTTGGCTGTTCTGGACTCACTTTGTATACCTCAAACTCCCAGAGATCCACCTGCCTCTGCCTCCCTGAGTGCTAGGATCTCAGGCGTACATCACTGTGCCTGCCTTAGTTATCTCTTGAAAGGGAATCTTAGAGGCTGGGCCAGACTGCAGCACACACAAGTCTCTTGAAGTGTAAGCTCCAAACAAAAGCTGAGATAGGGCAAGGATTCTCAGACCTTCTAGAGAGCCTCTTAGCAGGAGGCCAGGCCCAGCAGGAGGGACCCAGGCTGCACCACTGTAAAAAAAACTGCACCCTGCTCCCTTTCTAGAAACACCTCTGATAAAAGGCTGCCTCCAACCCTACTCGTGGTTCATTCTTGCTCTCCTCTGGCCTTCATGATTCAGGATTCAAGGAAAGTGCTTCAGCCCTCGGGACTGGTTAGTGCTTGGGGTTGCAAAAGTATCCCCTTTTTGTCCATTTCTCTGCTCCTTCACATCATGTAAAAGACAAGCTGATTTCGTTATGCTACGTGATTTCTCCCTTTATCAATCATTTTTAATTAGGCGTAGAAAATGCTGACCAGGCAGAAAGTCCTGGCCTCTTTTTTGGACTGAGATCCCCATGTACTAGCAGTGCAGTGAGGCCACAAGAGGCTGTGAACAGGAGGCAGAGTCGATTAAAGATGTGTCTGGTAGATCAAGAGAGAAAACAGATACCCACTCTGGACCATGATGCTCTGAGATGACCCAGGGCAGGGGTTTGGACCTGAAGCCATAATTGAATAGTTTCCAAGGAGACACTTACTCCATATAAAGCACAGTGTTTTTACGGTCCCTTTCAACTCTGTTCACCTTCAGTACTTCTGTACATCCCTCCGAGTTCCACTCATCTTAAAGACATGGGCTGACAGCACGAAGTCCCTGAACCTCTGGGCTTGGCCATCTGACACAAGGCTTTCAGCCTTCCTGTGGCTTTCCAGAGCACATTTCCACCGTATTCATGTGCGTGAAAAAAAATAGAAGAAAGGGAAAGAAGGAATCATAAAGCTGAAAGAAGACCATGCCAGAGGTTTTGGTAAGAACATATCCATGTCCTCTGCATATGCCACACCCTTTCTGGGAAGATGTTACTGGCCTGGAAGCTGGGTTAGTGTGGCCTAAAATATGCCACACAAAAAGCACAGTGGCCCTCCCAAAATAGGACCCATAATTAAGTGAAGTCTTTTCAAGAGAACTGTCCTGTATCACAGCTTGACATATGTTGCTTTTATCTACCAGCTTCAGCAAATGCAGCTGGACCACAAAAGTGCTCAGCAACTGACACTTAGGCCAGACTGCTGTGTCACTAGCAAGTGGATGCATATAAACAGTCCTGGGTAGCAAACACTTGATCGCAATCATCCATAATGAGACCCCTCTCCTCCCTAAGCACACTTTCATCAGACCAGAATCACTACTCTTGATTCAAAATGCAGGACCAGCTCGGACTGCAGAGCCATTTCACCTCAACTTAAGCATACTGAGGAGGCCGGGAGCTGGTGCAGAAGACAGCCCCTTCTGTGTGGACGCTGAGGTCATGCTGTGAGAACCTCTCTTTCCTCCTGTGGGCCATCAGTCAGCATGCCTTGTCTGTCTGAATTCATTTAGGTCCACTTTTGCTTGGAGTCAGGGGTAACAAAGGAGGTAGCTTCTAGGAGCCATCGCAGGCCTGTGTATTCTGAGCCCTTTTTAGATGTGTGTGTGTGTGTGTGTGTGTGTGTAATTAGATTTTAAAATAAAAACTCTTAAACCAACAGGCACTTTAGGCATTTTACTGGCTCTAACACAGTTTCTCAGTCTCAGTACCACTGACATCTGGGATCATTTTCTGGGTGTGTGCACATGTGTAGTTCTAGTTGCTGCAGAGCATTTAGCAACATCTCTGACATCACCAAATATCCTCTAGGAAGGCAAGGTGACCCCAGATGAGAACCACTGTGATTCATCTTTCATCCTGCTGTGGCCCAGAGATGAGGAAGAATCTTGGCTTCTCAAAGGTATTCACAAGTTGCAGCTTTGAGAATCTTAAACTTCTTGACTCTCAATAACGAATCAGAACCTGACAGCTCTTCTGCACCTCAGAAGAGTGGTACATAGCACTCTCACTGCCTCAGCTACAGGTGCCACGACTGGCTCTCCTCCGGACACAGGAGAACACACATTTGCTACTCTGAGCTCCTGAACTGCTCACCTCCTTTCAAGAGCTCTGTTCTTAGAGGAACACTCACCAGGAAGGCTGTGCGACCCATAGCGAGGTGCTCAGTACTGAGAGTGATGGATGGGAGGGAGTTTAGGTATTCACTAACTCGACAGAGGTGAGGTATTCCCAGCCAGATCCTGGCAGTCACAGTGCTTCAGTGTTGGGCACGGGCAAGAGGGGGAACTGTAAAGCCTCTCCCAAGAGCTTCATGGGATGGGGCGGGCCACGGACATAACACCAGAGGGAAAGAACATACAGGAAGGGGGTAGTTTGCTCCATAGGAGAGAGGGTGGCCGAGGAAGGGAATCATATAAGCATGGTGGACTAGCGCGTGGGACACTGCGGTGACTTCCCCAGAAACTCAGAGCAGCAGGTGCAGTGAGTACTCAGGTACTCATCACGTCACTTCCGCGGGCCCCACACTGTGGTGGCAGAAAGGGCTCAGCCTAGGTCGCTGTCCCACATACAGTCTGACGTAAGGAGTAGGCGGTTTCTCTTTCTTTCCACTCTCCCTCACGCCACTTTCTTTTTAACAAACTGAGGTAACTGTCCTCTGTCTCAGAGCGCACTCTTTCCATCTTTCATTTACATACAACAAAATTCAGTACAACAAAATTCTTCACTGTACGGTTCTGCGAGTTTCTACAAGAGCCCACAGTTGTGTAAACAGCACTACAATTAAGATATGAAACAATATGATCACTCTTCTCAAACAATTCCCTTGTGTCCCCTAATTGTTTATTATTTTATTTTTCATTAAGACAAACATCTGGGTTCAGCACAATGATTTAATGTGTATATACAGTGTCTAATGATCAAACCAGAATAAGCGTCCCCAATGCCTCAAAAGAAAATACTTTTACATGCTTGGGACTTTTGTGTTCTTTTTCTAGTTATTCTGAAATAAATCTGATATTGTTATAAACAGTACTTCCCTTGAGGGCTAGAGAACACTGGGCCTACTCCCTTCCAGCCTCACTGTTTTACACACAAGCAAACAGCCATAGGCAATCTCCTTATCTCTGAGAAGACATACATCTCCTGGTTAGACATTTTGCTGAAGAGACTTTTTGGCTCTTTAGAGATTATTGTGGAGACCTCCTGAGGCCATGCCCATGTCCTTTATTCACAAAACAGACAAGTGACCTTAATGTTAGCACTCTCTGCAGCACCAACACAGTTAAAGGCTTCAACCCAAAGCCAACTGTTGGTTCAATAATTGGGTAGTAATATCAAAAGGAAGCTTTAAAAATAAAAGACCACACAAAAGGATCATTTTCCTCACTCACATCCCTTCCTACTAACATGAATGAAAGGGTATCATAGTATTTTAACCAATAGCTCAAAGGATGCCACCTCACAAGGTTGCAAAGATGACAGGAAGGAAAGCCAAGTTAGCTGTGCTTGTCTGAGGACGGGCTTCCAGGGGTTCCAGAAGGAGGCCCAAGTCATGGGGGGAAGGGGCCCCATAGACCCATAGCTCATTATGGAGTAAATGATGGAGAAATTGCTGTGTTGACCCCTGGGAAATCATGTGTGTGAACAAGCCATCTCTCAAGCCTTCCTGCTGAAAACATGCACCTTCTGAGTGGCTTGTTTATCTTCAGTGGCAAGTGTGGCGCCCAAACGAGGCTCCACCATTAGACAGGGCTGCTGTGAAGCAACTACTAGGCCCCAGCACTACCCGGCTCACTCATTCCCACAACAGCCCCGTGATGCAGGAAATATTAAAGACCTCCGCTTATAGAAGGCCCTGGGACTTGGAGAGGTTATAAGACAAAGCATTTAACCTAGATCCCCTGACTCCAAAGACTGCCTCCTCACGCACGACCAGCAGTCAAGTCCTGACTGTGTTCCTTGGCCTCTGCAGTTAATTCTCCCAGCCTGGGGCAACCTCCCAGGGCGGGCAAGCTCCCAGGGCACTGCGCTGCTCCCTTCCATTCATTTCCCACTCTTCATGCAGCCCAACTTCTCTCTCATCTCAACACACACACCATTTCCAACTCCCAACTTTAGAGAGGATGTTCTTCTACCCAATGAGTTTATTACTCCTATTATACAGCTGGCCTAAACATAAACTAAATTGCCAAGGGTGTCCCAGGCCCCGCATTTGAGCTCCCCCCCCCCCAAAATCCGTATCAATTAGTACATTCGTTTTAACAATAAAAATGGCATACTGTTAGAAAACACTGCTTTGGTGTCACACTTAACTAAAAACTTCCATTTGAAGTTTAGAGCAGATCTGAAAGATGCACAAAGGGAAGGGCGCGGGCCTCCCCTCTTCACACCATTTTACAACTCAACGTGTTAGAAATAAACGTGACAACACTTACCCAAATTTCCACCAACTATCACAAACTTTATATACACCACATGTCTTCTAAACCACCGGGAGGACTGACTCTGAAAAAACAATACAAATAAACACCTTATTCACAATCTGCTTTAATCCACCTGGTGCTCTCTTGTCTGTGCCTCTTCGCCATTTGGGGTACCCATCCACACAGCCAATTCCCTACCAGCTGCCCCCTGGCTTTGCACAGGAAAATGAGACCAATTTACAAATTATCTTAGCATACACTAATGAGGGAAAAAACAAAACAAAACAGTGAGCAATTGAATCAATCAGGAACCGCACTTATAAATACAGGAATCTCCAATCCTTGAAAACAACCAAAGTTAAGAGAATGGCGGGGAAACACCTGAGACTACACTGGCAACATTTTCCCCTGAGCCAATTCCTCTCCTTTATATCATAACACTCTCCCTTCTGCCTAGTTCTGGGAGGTCCCAGGCTACTCCTTCTGTCTTCTTCAGCCTAGCTCGCTTTAGCCTCTGTAAAATAGGGACTGTGGCAACTGACTTCACAGTGTCACCATTACTGCGCCAACGTCGCCGCAGAGGACACACAAAGGCTTGGCACAGCAGCAGGCACTAGTAAGTGCAGTATGAGTGAAGGCTTTGGCTACCATGGTCCTCACTGCCCCAACCTGAGACCTAACACGGCTTCTCACCTCTGCTGCACACCAGGCCCCAGACCTGCCGCTGAGCCCGCTTCCGGGCTGGGACTCACTCCTTCTCTCCTGACGTTCCACCTGGTCTGCATCGTGCCTTGCCTGCAGAAAACCCACGCCAGCCTCCAGTTTGCCCCTCTCCACACACTCGCCTGGCTCTGCAAAGCATTTTTCCTAACACCTTTTACACGTATTCTTCTTCAGAAAATAAGCCTTCTATCACGTCACATCACCCCCACGTTAGTACGTAAGATTCCATCAGCCTGGACTCGTACTTGTCTCAGCTTTATTTCTGTGTCTTCTCAACCAGGCAGGAAGTGCCCTTCCTGGGCTCCATGTGCCCCACCCTTGACAGTAGGAGGAAGGCCCAGGCATTTTTTCAGGCCAGAGTTATTCGCCTTTCTGAACTATGTCAGTCTACAGAACTTTTCAAAAATTCTGAATGGAATTTTTATTGTTATTGCTTGTTTGTTAAGAGTAATATCTTTAATTACTTGAAATTAACATGATATGCACAGTATTTAAAAGAAGCAAAATTTGTCCAAATTTAGTTATCAGAATATTTAACAGCTACATAGTGAGACCTTGTTTCAAAAAACAAAACAAACAAACAAACAAACAAAACAAATCCAAAACCTAACAAAGTTGAGATGGACTTTCTTCAACAGTTAAATGATTTTCCTGCAAAAATCTAAAGTAAATGACATTGAGTATCTTTAAATGAAAAATGGTATTTCAGGATGCCCTTAATTATAATATAACATAAACAGTCACAATTCTATTCACATTCTTTCTAGACAAAGATAAATATATTATATAACAAAAAGAAATGCTGGCTTTCCGCTCGCTCAGGGGTAAGTAAAATGAGTAGTCTTCTTCCCCACTAGGTCTCCTGAACCTTGAGTTCCAGCCACGGTCTCTGTCCTTGCTGGGCCCAGAATACCAGACTGAAGCCTCTCCTCACTTTAATTATCTTTCATTTTCTTGATTTTCCTAATTTGGTATTACCTTAAATTTTTGTTTTTCTAGTCTTTTAAATTACATTTTGAGATAATACTTCATATTTTAAGTTTTAGGCATTTTAACTTGTAAGGGAGAGTCACATTTTTTTCTTTTTCTTTTTTGTTTTCATAACACCCTCCCCTATCACCAGCATGGTAAGGGAGGCATTCATCAGCACTGTCTGAATCAATCAGTGATTAAGCACACTGACTATACAAGCTTGGCTAATAATAATATTATCTCATCTCCCATTGGCAGCCTGCGAGGTTTTGAATGTGTAGATGGCCACCTCAGGATTCTATATTTAGAATGTAAATGACTGAAGTTAGGCAACAAAATGTCCTCGTCTTTTTAGAGACTGGATGCTTATCTGTGTCACTGACTGACAGGTCTCTGGGAACAGACCAGCTGTTCGAGTATTTGCTGATAAGTAACACCCTGGATGCCTACGAGATGAGGACGATCCCTTGCCTTCCTGGAGAATCGAGTCCAGCGGCTTTCCTCAGCTGGTCCAGAGCAGCTAGGAATCTTCCCCTCCACACACACACAGGGTCTTGCATAAAAAGGGTGGTGAAACCATGCTGGTGAGGCCAGCTAGCACCACTTGGCACCCACTGGAAAACTGGACCAAGATCTGACCTCCTGTCAATCACACAGATGTGAACCTGTGGTGCTGGGGTAGGTAAACAGTGGGTGAAATCCCACAGAACTTCCCCAGGAGTGGTGTCTCTGCATATGAGACCAGAGATGACAACCACTCGTGACTGCCTCAGGTAGGTCAGCTTAACATCCGGCCACATCCTTCATTCCAAGCCGCACGGCATCTGTGATGAATCAGACTCATGATGAGCGAGGGGCTGTCCATATTATGCTTTTTGTTTATTTTTTTCACGTTATGCTTTTTAGCTAAGTACCTTCAGCAAGGGATGACTGTGTTATCTTTTGCCAAAAAACAAACAAAAATCTTCCTTTTCAAATGAAGAAAAGCATAATGATTTTCTCCATCGAGAATCAGTAAACAGGGCACAGTGACCAATTGCTTTGGCAGAAATTTACCACTGGCAGTATTTTTCACGCCTAACATTGTGTCAAGTGACTCTCAGGCCACACGGCAGAGTGTTCTTCCTCTCCAGTAACTCCCACGGCTGATGAGCTATCTACCGTAAGAACAAGAGGTGGACTTGGCACGTGACCTTTTCTATACCTCAGCACATTTACTTCCATCTCATTAGAATTTGGTATGTATTAGTTACCGGTAAAAGCTAACTGAAGGATGAGTAAGGGGGAGGTTTAGTCTGCTGCATCTTCAGCTTTAATGGGTACGCCCACACAACAGTGCGCAGCACCTCCCCCCGCATGTACTTCCTGTTTCTGAGATACAGCACAGGCTGGGTGTGACTTCTGAGTTAAAGGCAACATTCTCTATACACACTGTGAGCAGGTACAGCTCTCCTCAGTGCAGGATTATCCTTGCTTTCTTCCTCCTAAGGGAGCCCTCACACACCCTTCCCCAGCCACTGTGCCTCGGGAACAGGGGACACCAACCCCAGTGGGGGTGGGGCATCTGAATGGTTTAAAGCTTTGCGGGACATCAACCCACCGTCATAAGCGTCTCCTGGACATTTCTCAGGAGTATCAGCCCTGAGGCGTCTCTCAAACCAACCTTTCCTGGGTGATCAGTGCGTATACTAAGGTTGGAGAGGCTCTAACTCAAGAGACCCGCAAGACCCTTAACAATGACTGAGTCAAAAATAAACATGCAGCCCAACACAAGAGTGCCTGACTAGGAGCATCCCGCTCTTCCGGGAGAAGCTTTGTTTGTCCAGTGCTGTGCGCATGTGATGCCCAGAATAATGCAGCCCGGGGCTGTGGCTGCTTCTGGACAGGGAAGCACAGTCTAGCTGACGGAAACACCTCTGAGTTCCCTATGCATTCCTCATTGGTTAGTCCTCCTTGAGTGGAGTTTCGATACCTCCCAAATAAACGGCATAAAAGGGAGAGAGTGGCAGCCTCATTGTTGGGAAGAGCCCAGAGCAGCTCCTCAGAGATTCATTCTGTTCGGGAACTGACCCACTAGTGCCCTGGTTATGACGGTGGCGTCTCATCTGTGCATTTCCAAAACCTTTCCAAGTCAGCTGGACTCCATCTTCCAGAGGAAATGCTGAGCACTTTCCAAATTATCTTAACCAGAGTGGTCAACAGTTGCCTTTTCCCAAGAAGTCACATGGATGTCATTTCCTGCAGAGACAATGGGAGACTAACTGCTCAGCCCTGGCCTCCAATAGGAGAGATACGTAATTACTGAAGGGTAAATAGGAAGAGCTTGAGGCTCTCGGAGTCTGTTTCTGGATCTGCTCCAGTTAGTTGTGGGACTGGGTGGGAGGGTAGTGGGGAGCCCTGGGAAAGATCAGAGGGAAGTATCGCGTGCAGGCATTTAGACCCTTGCCCATGCTGCTGGCTCTCAGTAAAGACCTTTCTGAGAAAAGCAAACAGGCTGGCCACTACACAGAACCACATGTGGCTTTAGTATGATCTTGATTCACGTGTAGGAGTTGTGTATAGTTGTGGCAACCGGAAATGTGCCAACCAACATCTCTGGTGTGTCCTAGCTTGTTAGCCATGCTGGGGAGAGGGGTATTCTGGGCTTGGAATGATATAGGGGAGGGGGTGTTATGGTGGCCTGATAAGAATTAATCTTCTCTCAGGGAGTGAGTATACTGACTGTCTTACTGTCTTACTACCTCACCCTCTCTGCTTTCTCTTTCCTGCCCTCCTCTCTACTTCCACTTCCCCAGTCCCAGCAGCATCCTGTGCAATGAATTTCAAAGTACTTAGCTACCATACTTGGCTCCTTACACATCAGCCACCTTTATCCAAAGGGAAGGAACTCTCTTTTGGTCACTGTTATGATCCCAGCAGCAGTCTTTCAAGAGAACCTAGTGTGCACTCGGCATTCAAAAACATCTGTTTTCTGGTTGAATAAATCAATTGGTCTTGCGCATGTAACAAGGGTATCAGTTTCTCTTACAGTGGGGTGCTATCCAAAAAAAAAAAAAGAGGTTAAAAAATGGGGATGACAAAAGCTGTTGTTTCTTCTAGGACAGGGGTAATGGCTGGAAAAGCAGACTCTCCCACAGGTCACTGAGTCACATCCATCCAGGAAAGGTGGGGTCTATGACATTGCTAGAAAATCGATGACTACTAGGTATGATGACACACACACCTGTACAGAATCTCAGAAGGGGGGGCAGTAAAAGGATCACAAATTTGATGTCACCTTGGGCGACATACTAAAAAGCTTTGTCTCAAGATAAAATAAAGGCAGCACGTAAAAACCAAACCAAAACAAAACTAACTACCTACTATTTATACTGTTAAACACAAACT